GAAGTAGACCAGTATGTCTCAGTGTTCTCATGGTCCTCATGAGGTAGACCAGTATGTCTCAGTGTTCTCATAGTCCTCATGAAGACGTCCAGGTTCAGTCCACTTCTGAGGTGTCTCCACAACGTGGTCCAGTAGGTCCGGTCTCTACTGGTCTTGAAGAGGTTTAAACCAAAGACATCAGACAGGTGAAATAACTGATATTTGAGTGTTAAAGACATTACATCGGACACATCTGCCTCTCTTATTAAAACACCTGTATCTAGTACTGTGTGGGTGTGTGTGTCAACACTCACCTGTGTCAGGCGTCCAATGGGCTGTCAGTGCTGCTGTAGGAGGGCGGTCCTCTCCTCCAGCAGCCAATGAGCTGCGATCCTGCTGGCGTAGATCACGTAGGACCAGGACAAGACCACCACAGTCAGCAACACCTGAGGGACAGAAGAATATTAACAATAACTATGATACATTAACATTATTAACAATAGTTATAGTTAGAAGAAGACACGTCAGTCCTTCACGGTTCACTGACTCTGAAGTATTAGTATCATGAAACAGTATTATTCTGCTCACTTCACCTCATATTTATACAACAGTACACATAATCTGTGGTATTTATACAGCTAATCAGCCACCAACAACAGTGGATGAAGTACACAGATATTTTGTGGTAATACTACAGTGTAGACATACTCTGTTACAAGTAAAATTCTAGCTCACTAGCTAGCCCCAAGCTGCTCGCTAGCTCTTAGCTGCTCACTAGCTAGCCCCTAGCTGCTCACTAGCTAGCCCCTAGCTGCTCACTAGCTAGCCCCTAGCTGCTCACCAGATAGCCCCTAGCTGCTCACCAGATAGCCCCTAGCTGCTCACCAGCTAGCTAGCTCCTAGCTGTTTACTAACTAGCCCTCAGCTGCTCACCTGCTAGCTGTAGCTGCTATCTTAACCGGGTATCTTTCCGGTAAGTGAGAACACCGTCTACCGGAGAACATGTAACGTTAGTACCACAGAGTAGATTCCGTTCAAGTCCCGTCTGCTGAAGGTCTCCATCTTCTTATTTAACCCGCTGTGGCACCGCCAGTAATCGGTTTAGTTTGGTTTGTTTACAGATTTATTGTGACTTTCTTCTTCTCTGATTCTTAAAGGCGGTTTGTAACCGCAGGTTGAATCGCTCTACCGCCACCTGCAGCATCGGAGAATCACTACAACACATTCAGTTTAACATATTATATGTGATGAGGTTTAAAATGTAACATGTGAACTAATAAATGAATATTATCAACAATAGTACTAATGTATTAACATGATCAACAATAGTACACTATATAAATACATTTAAATTTTAATATTTTTTAAATTATGTATTTGTTGTAATAAACACTGTCAGTACTAGACGTCCTGATCCACACCCCGTACCAGCTGGCGGCGGTAATGCAGCAATTCATTGTTTGCCAACAAACCTCAAAGAAGAAGAAGCTAAAAGAAAATCCAATGTTTCATGTCCCATAATGCACCGCGGCACCTCTGTCTCTCCAGCTGTGTTGCTTCGGTTCGGGCGACAAACAGCCGACACAAATGTCCCCGTTTCTACCGGGAGTTTCGGTCTGAACGGTGTGTGAGACCCAGATGTCGCTCACGGTGCGGAGCTCTGGCCGCAGGAGGAGGAGAAAAGACCCGGATGAGAAGCTCCCGGAGTCGACTTCTTCTTCTGCTGCTCAGGTACGGGAAGCTAACCGCGTTAGCATGCTAACAGAAGCTAACGAGCTTTGACCAATAAATCCTTTTATTGTTTTATTACCGAGCTCCGTGACTTACCAAAAATAACGTGTTTTAAAAAAAAGCGGAATTACATTTGAGCTGCCGGTTCTCTAAATGTTACAGAGCTAACATAGTGCTAGCATGCTATTCCGGCTAGCTACCAGTCTCTCGTGAGTCATCGTGAAGAATAATCCTAAAAACACTGAAGTGATAGTAGGAAACCTGACTCTGTAAACATGGAGGATGCTAACTAGCTTAGCATTCTGTTAGTTTGTTTTGCTGCACCAGCTGGCCGATGACATGCGGTCAGAAGAACTGAGAACTCTGTCTTTGTGTTTAATAACCACTGATGACCACTTCCTGTCCCGTGTTCAGGTGATGGCGCCCACGAGGATGAAGCTGCGAGTGCGTCGCCGTGACAACGCGGCCGCAGCAGCAGCAGCAGCAGCAGCAGGAGGCGACCAACCGGAGGAGGAAGAAGAAGGAGAGGGGCGGAGCCGAGAGAGCAGCGGGCGCAGGAGGAGGAAAACAACCACCAGCACCACCTCGACCACAGCTGCTGCTGCTGCTGCCTCCTGGTCTCCTCCTCCCTCCTCCTCCTCGGCCTCGGCAAGGGTGGTGATGGCGGCGGCGGAGGAGGCGTCGCCGGACTCCAAGTGTCCGATCTGCCTGGACCGCTTCAACAACCTGGCGTACCTGGACCGCTGCCTGCACCGCTTCTGCTTCCCGTGCATCCAGGAGTGGTCGCACAACAAGGCCGAGTGTCCGCTCTGCAAGCAGCCGTTCGCCTCCATCCTGCACTCGGTGCGCGCCGAGGACGACTTCAAGGAGTACACGCTGCGGCCGCCGCCCGCCAACAGCAGCGTAGCCGCCACCGTGGCGATGGTGGCGGCGATGGCGTCGGCGGCGCGGAGCGACCACCAGATGAGGCTGATGCTGAGGAGGCACAGAGGGGGGGAGGCGACGACGAGGAGGCGGAGGAGGGGGGAGAGAGGAGGAGGAGGAGGGAGGAGGTCGGGGGTGTGGGAGTGGTATCTGGACTCTCCTCCTCTCACGCTCCCTCCTCATCCTCATCCCGCCGTCTCTCCTGTTATGCCAGAATACAGCGAGCAGGGGGAGGAGCTGGGGGAGCAGAGGACGAGGGGAGGAGCCGACATGGTGGAGCGTGGCGTGATATTTGAGGGGCTGACGGGACTCGGCGGCGCCGCGGCGCCCGCGGCACCCAACTACCGGGCGTCACGCCGGCTGATGACTCGCTTGGTGGCGAGGCAGCGGCTGCAGCGAGAAGGTGGAACAGTGCGGCGGCTGAGGGAGCGAGAGACAGTGGCCTTCCGCCGCGCTCTCTACCGGAACGGCATACGGGTCCGTGGCGTCCCCGGGGTCAGCGGTAACCAGCAGCAGCGTGACATCACAGCAGAGAGCTTCCGCCGTAACCCCACCCACCTGAACAGGCTCCGCCCCTGGCTGCGGCGGGAGCTCACGGTGCTGTACGGCACGCACGGCTCGCTGGTCGACATCGTCCAGCGCATCATCATGGCGCGGGTCGCTCGCCATGGCCTGGAGGACACGCCCACCATAGAAGAAGAGCTGCGACAGTTCCTGTTGGCACGCACCGACCACTTCCTGCACGAGTTGGTCAGCTTCGCCCGCTCGCCGCTCGGCCTGGAGACCTACGACCTGCAGGCGGCGTACGAGCCACCGGACGCCGCCATGGAGCTGGACGGCACGAGCAGCCCCTCCGACGGCAGCTCTGTCATCGCCATATCGGAGGGCGAGGCAGAGGAGAGGCCGGCGGGAGGAAGATCGGAGGACGAGAGGCTGCTGGAGATGGCGGACGGCACTCACGACGACGTCATCCAATCAGGAAGCTGCCTCAGCTTGGCGGTCTGGGACGACGAGACCCCCGGCCCCTCCTACTCCACCGCCGAGCCGTCGTGTTCGCTCGCCTCCCCGCCGGTTGGCCACGCCCCTCGGGAGGCAGCCAATGGGGAGGGAGGAGAGAAGGAGGAGGAAGAGTGTCTGATCGTCGGGTACAAGAAGCCGATAGCGGAGCGGACTCCTGAGCTGGTGCAGCTCTCCTCCGACACCGAGGAAGAGGAGGAGGAGGAGGAGAAGAAGAAGAAGGAGGACGACGACGACACGACTGAGGAGCTTCCTCCCCTCCCGCCCTCCACCCCCTCTTACTTACCCACAATCCCTCCCTCCACGTCGGGTGCGTACGGCGACGAGCGAGGCGAAGAGACGAAGGAGAAAGACGGCGAGCCTCGTGCACGCTCGTGGTCGGGCAGCTCCAGAGGAAGCAGGAACTCTGTGTGCGCTCTGAGCCCGGCGGCGCCCGGAGACGGGAAGTCTGGCAGCGAGGCGGCGAGGGAGAAGAAAAAGAAGATGAGGAAGAGCGGCACCCTGTACAACCCCAACCGCTCCATTTATCCCGCCATGATGCGTCACCGCTCGCGCTCCTCCTCGCCGTTTCGCTCCAGCGTCGGCTCCGGCTCGCCCGACTCCACCTGGGAGTACCACTGTTCCCAGGTGTCTCCTCTCACCTCTGTCTCCTCGCCCTCCCGTTGCTCCTCCTCTCCGTCTTCCTCCTCCTCACCCTTCTGCACCTCCTCCCCACCACCGCCGATGCCTTCGCTCTCCCCCAGCGACCACGTGGAGAAACCCGGGGGGAAGAGGAAGTACAAGAGCCGCCACCTGGACAGCGATTACAAGGACCCCACCTGGAGGCCGAGCAGCAGGGAGAAGGAAGGGGGGAGGAGGAAGGGGAGGAGGAGAGAGAGGCAGAGGAGCGGGGGAGAGAGGTGAGGACGCACTTCCTGTTTCTGTTTTTATGTGTCTCGTCCGTGATGTAAACGTCCTTGTTTCCTGTTTCCGTCCTCGAGGAGGAGCAGAGCGGACCGGAGCCCCAGCGTGGAGATCATCTACGAGGGCACTGTCTCCCCCAACGCCTCGCAACCCCCCGTCCACAAGCGCTGCAGGAGACGCCAGCGCAAGACGCAGCAACACAGCAGGTACGGGCGCGGTGTCACAGTAAATAAAGACGTCTTCAGAATGTCTTTTAACATGTCTTGTTCTCTCTCAGCTCTCCGGTCATCATCACCCTCGACAGCGACAGCAGCCTCGACGACGAGGACGACAGCAGCAGTCCAATCAGCAGCCAGCAGACCGTCGACTTCTCGGACCTCCCTCCTCTCCCGTCGGTGCGTTCGGACGGAGTGGGCGGAGCCCTGGGCGCGGAGATTGGCGAGCTGCCCGTTGACATCCTGGACCAAGGGTCGGAGGCGGCGGCGGGTCCCATCGCCGTCGATAACAGCGACGACAGCGTGGACGTGGAGAACGTGGAGGAGAGCGGTCTGCTGCTGGGGTCGGAAGATGAAGATGATGAAGGACCAATGGGAGCCACTTCTGATAATCAGAGAGGGTCGAATACGGTTTGCAAAAGACACCTCGCGTTGTCGTCCTCCGACAGCCGTCTCCTAGCATCCATCCTCGATGACCTGAGGGGAATCGGCCCGCCGGCGAAACGTAAACCGCCCGTTAACTTTGACGACGACGTCGCCGAAGCTCACTCGAACCGGGGCGTCTGGTTGGCCGAGGCGAGACCTCTGCCCGACGTTGTGGATCAGAATCGAGGGTTTGACTTGCCGGCGTGCCGCTCTTCCATCCAGCCGCCGCCTCCTCCTCTCGAGCGTCTGAAGGAGGTGAAGGACGTTCCTCCTCTCCTGAAGCAGGCAAGTCCCGTGAGGTCGTACAACAGGAACACGCCGCCGCCATTAAAGCACAAAGACGCCGGGAGTCCGCACCTGTCTCCCGTATCTCCCGTTAACCCGCTCTCACCCCGCGCCGCTTATGACCCGCTAAGTGTAAATTCTCACGTTGACCTCAATTCAAATCCTGTTGACTCCCGTGCTGAAGACGACCATCCCGTGTCGACGCTGAAGAGACATTTAGCCAATGACGTGCAGTCTTCCTGTCATTTAGCACCCGTTGACCCCCATTCAACGGCTCCTTCTGAAGCCGAAGCGGTCGGCATCGATTCCACAAGTCACAAACCTCCCGCTGATACCCGTTGTTCTTTTTCTGGTTCAGAAAACAGATTCACAAGTGCTGATCGCTTTTTACATCTGCTGTTAAATTCTTCTTCAAAGTCACATTCCGTTGACTTGCATCCTGTGAATTCCTTACCTGCCATTGATTTCCATTCGGCCAAGACTGGCTGGTCCAATGAGAAGCCGGCTCACACTGCCTCTACCTCCAGAGGTTGCAGGGAGAAGACTGATTGGACAGATTCCTGTTTGGTAGCACCCGTTGACCACCATCCTTCCAGCGGTGTTTCTGCTGAAGGCTCACGGGCAGCTGGGGCTGTTTTCTCAGGAGTCGACCGTTACAACACATCGCCTCCTGCTTTTGTTTCATCCCTTGATTTCAGGAATCACAACCATCCCTCCTCACCCATTGACTCCCACTCTTTCAGCAAGAGAGAGGGGCTGTCACGCTTTAGCGGTAGTTCAGTGCCAACAGCAGCTCCCAGGTTGTCACCCATTGACGTGCATCCTAGTCCCAAATCTACTGTTGACCTCCACTCTTCCAGTGCAGCTCCAGAAGGACTGACGGACAACAAGGCCTCATCGTTAGTGAATCATGGGGAGAGATCGCCTTACGCTCGCCTGCCACCCATTGATTTGCATTCTACAAGTCCTGTGCCACCTGCTAGCTTACATTCCTCTAGCTCCGTCAGCACCACGATTGATAACCACTTGAACCACACAGCCTTATCCTCCGCTACCGTTGACTCACACTCAAAACTCCACCTCACTGACTCCCGTTTAAAACCTCGCAACCACTTTGACCCCAGATCCGATCCACAGTTCCCCATTGACGACCGCTCAAAACGCCATTTCCCCGTTGAACCTCGGCCACCCGTTGACTCTCATCCAAACAACTCTCAGAGAGACAATCACACCACGTCTTTCCCCGAGTCTGAGGAGAACCAGTGGAACTCAAGCAGCTCTGTAGACCAACGCTCGGACTCTCGGTCGCCTGTTGACCAACGCTCGGACTTTCGGTCGCCCGTTGACCAACGCTCGGCCGACAGCGTCTGGAACACACACACACACTCAGCCACGTGACACGGACACACACACACACACACAGGACTTAAGAACTGCTGATTTTTACTTCTGTTTCTAATTGTGTTGATTTGAATGTTCATAAAGATGTTTGATGCTGTTTGTTTGTACATAAGGAAAATTTAAATGATTATTTTCAAATGTGACTTGTTTCTCTTTTTGTGGCGATGAAATCGATATAAATATATATGATGTCATCACTTCTGACTCATTTTAATTGATGTGATGATTCATGAATCACTAAACAAAACAGTTTAAAATAAAGAATATTTTCTGTTTTTTAAACCAAATAATTAATCGTTAATTGATAAAAGAATCAGTTCATTATATTAAAATCAACGTTTACAGTTCTGGACAACAATTTATGAATCATTTACAAATATCTATAACATAGCATTAGTTTAGGTTATTAAACATGAATAAACCCTTTAAACCGTTTACTTACAGACCGTCTACAGCTGATCAAATAGAATAAATGTATTAAAATATTAAATCACGTCTGAAGATCAGTTACAGCTGTTAGCTGCAGTTTGTGTTACTCACCACCAGGTGGAGCCGTCAGCTGGTTTTTACTCCATCACTCCTCTATTCTTCTTCTCTCTCTTCTTCCTCCTCCATGTCCTTCACATTCTGCTTCCTCTTCCTCAGAAGACAAACTAAGAAGGATAATGAGTCTCAAGGGACAGACGGAGAGACGCACTAATTAAGACGATCAGGGTTCGATTACACGGCTGTTAGACACACGCACACACTAACACACTCTCACACACACTCTAACACACTAACACCAACTAACACACACACTAACACGCTCACGACTCCGGTCAAAGTCAAGAGGACGAGGGAGAAGATCAGAAAGAACGAAACTAAACCAAAAAAAACTGACCCGAGAGATTGTCCTCCATGACCTTAGACCTCTGACCTCTGATCTGTGTGACGGCGTCTGAGACACTGGCTCCCTGTAGGATCATCCAGTGTAAGACTCTGGTGCTAGCCTACAGAGCAGTGAAAGGAACAGCTCCTTCCTATCTCCAGGCCATGGTCAAGCCCTACACCCCCGCCCGACCTCTTCGCTCTGCTACCTCGGGGCGACTGGTTGCCCCGTCGCTCAGAGGTCCCTGCGGCCGATCGACCCGGTTGCGGCTGTTTTCTGTCCTGGCCCCTCAGTGGTGGAATGAACTCCCCACTGACGTCAGGACGGCAGAGTCGCTGCCCATCTTTCATCAGGCTGAAGACTCACCTCTTCAAGTAGTGCTACCCTGAGCCTTCCACTCACCACTTACTGTATTCATACTAGTTTGTTTCTGTTCTTCTGCTCTGGTTTATGCTCTTAGATGCTTGTTTAAAGGAGATGCACTTATGACTTCTGGTGACTAGTAGTTCTCTTGAATACCAATGTTGAACACACTAAGTCGCTTTGACAAACTCAGACAAACAGACATTTACTGACATTTACAACTTACACTTATTGTAAGTTGCTTTGGATAAAAGCGTCTGCTAAATGACTGTAATGTAATGTACTGGACCAACATAACTTTTACAGTCGACTTCATGAGGATCAAAAGAAAACGTCCCTGAAGAACTTCTCTACGTCCACAGTGAGACTGAGCGTCCTGATCGACCGTTATCAATAAAGTTATACTGAAGACATTTCATTTGAACAGTGACGAAAAGGAAGAGTGACGGACGAAAAAGACGTCCTTTTTGTCCGTCGTTAGCCTTTGTGCTAACGTGTCTTCGTTAGCCTTTGTGCTAACGTGTCTCCGTTAGCCATTGAGCTAACGTGTCTCCGTTAGCCTTTGTGATAACGTGTCTCCGTTAGCC